CCAGCACACTTCCATTTGGGATTCCATTTGGGAATCCATCTGGAGGCACAGGAACTCTCTCCCCAGTTTTCAGAGGCTGCTGAGCCAAAACATGTGTAAAAACAGCCCTGCTGTGGGTGGGATCCTGCACTGGGAGCTCTGTTGCTCCCAGGGCAGTGGGAGCAGGAGGTGGCAGAAGGTTCATATGTTTTTAAGTGGGGATGCCATTTGTCAGCCTGAATCAATGCTCTCATTTTCCCAGGGACCGCAGCAGTGACATTTTCAGTGCCCATGTTTTGGAATGGGTCAAACAGCCAGGAGGAGGAGAGCCAGACAAGGCCCATGCAGGAAGGCAGCCAGGTTGCTGGGCTGGTCCCAGTCATGTGCCACAGGGCCCCAGGGAGGAGGACATCCCTGCCCAGCCTTGTCCATCATCCAGGGGCACATGGCACCACTGTCCCATTGCTGGTGTCCTGGTGGGGCAGCCAAAGGGAACCATCCTCCCTTTGCTGCTGAGGCACCTCTGTGGGCACAGAGGAGTCCTTGTGGAGTCATCACAGCCCACCCCACTCTCACCAGGGCTGTGTGACATGATGGAGCAGGAAGGAGATGACCCAGGTTCATGCTGGGGTTGCTCTGGTCCTTCCTGCCCAGCACCTGTGAATCCAAGGAGGGTTGCAAGGAGCTCTGAGAGCTGGAGAGGGCAGGGGTTTCCCTGGGAATGGGGATGGTGCATTTCTCCAAAGGGATCTTCAGGGTCATTTTCCATTGCACAAGAGCTGCTTTAGCCAAGCCACCCTGGATATGGACACTTACCAGGCCAGGACACCTGTGCTGGGACACAGCTGCTACAAGCCCTGGAGAGGGCCAGATACTCACCCCCACTGTGCTCCCCAGGCCGGGGTAGCCAGGCATGATCAGGGTTCCCAGGCTGGCCCAGCCCCAGCACCCTCAGGAACTGCTGTGCCACTTCCCACCCCTGAAATTCCCCCCCACGTTTGGTTTTGCAGCTTTTCCCGAGGGACACCCACTGTGGGGAGCTGGATCCCTTCTCAGGCTGCAGCTCAGGGGGGCACCCACATCACATGTCCCTGCATCCCCTCAGCCCCACCACACAGAAAATCTCCACCAGGCAGAAAATCCCAGGAAAAAGACTCAAGGAACCATCACTTCTTAGAAACTGTCCAGGGCCTTGTTCCCCTCTTCCCTCAACGTGCCAGAACTCTTGCAATCAATCCGAGGGTTTTCCCAGCACAGCGCTCCTGCTGCCAGACCGAAGCGCTCCGCTTGTGCTTTTGTCTCTTGTTCTCAGTTCCTTCCCTCCTCTTTGCTTCCCCGTGGCCTTTGCTGGGAAGTTCACACCATTTTTGTTGGGAATGCGTCAGCAGTGCTCCCTCAGAGCCCCGTTCCCCACGGCTCCCATCGCCGTGTGTGGGATTGCACGGCCGAGGGTGGGAAATGCAGGTAGGTGCTGAGGGCACTGGCTCCGAGGAGGCATTCCCAGGAACAGTGGCTAAACTGTCCAGTTCTGGCTTCAGTCCCCATGAGTTTTTCACCTCCTCTGGTTTGGGGCATTCAGGCATCCTCCATGCCCAGCCCGGTGTTCCTGGCAGCCCTGGGGCAGGGTGAGGGTGCTCTGCAGAGCTGTCCCAGGCAGGATGGGTGGCAGGCAGGGAGGGCTGGGCATGGCTGAGGCTGTCCCACAGACTGGTCGGCAGATGAATGATTTGGGGTACAATCCCTGCCCCCCTCCACCTTCCCCCATGCAGCATCCAAGCTGAGTTTGCAGCCCCACAGCTCCAGATGCACAGCACAGGTCCTGGAGCCAGTGGTCTCCTCCAGAATGGGAAGGACACCAAGGGTTGTCACCCCAGGACACCAAGAGACAGAGCAGTCTGTGCTTCAGCACCCTGTCCTGCATCCCTGTCCAGGGTCCTGGGTGCCCTGCAGGGACAGAGGGCACAAGGACTGGCTTCCCTGGACTCAACCACAGCTGAAACTGTCCACCAAGTACCCGGTGTGCCTCCCCTGGGGCTGCTGGGGGGGATCCACCCTGCTCTGAATCCTGTGTCCTCCTGGGGTCTGGAGAAATCAGGCATGGAGAAGTGGATGGGCTGACTGAGGTGACAGCTGAGTCAACCAGCAACAAGCCAGTTGTCCCTGTGTCCCCAGACCAGCCAGGCCTGCTGGTCAGCTGCTCCCAACAGGGAGCATTCCTGCTCCCTGAAAGGCACTCACTCCTTCGGTCTGTGGGGAGGGAATTTGCCTCCACATATCTGTGCTGGCAGGAAGAGAGTTCGTCTGCAATAGTGCAGGTAGAAATCCTCACTGAGGGTGGCATCCTTGCCCAGGACCTGCTCCAGCTCCACAGTGCATGAGACAGCAGAGGAAATATTTGCTTCTGGGAAAGTGTTCAGGTCAGCCCAGGTGAGGACATGGTCATGCACAGACAGTCCCTGCTCCAGGGGTTTGTCACTGGAGAGAGAAGCCAAAGAGTCAGGAAAGGGTTCACTGCAGCTCAGGGGCACAGGAGGAAAACTTGGAACTGAAGCCCTCAATCAGCCCTGCCACGGCTCTCCAAAATCCAAGCTCTGACAGCAGCAAGGCTGTGCAGGTAGGAGAAGGAGGTTGGCTCCAGCAGCTCCTCTGGAGCACAGCAGCTTTGCAAAGTGAAGGCCCCACCAGCTGCTCTCTGCTCCACCCAGGAGCCATTCCCAACATTTGCCTGGGTTTGTGATGAGAAAGGACAGAGAAACCACGGCAGAAGCAAAACAATCTGCTGTGCCAGGTTCCTCATTTGAGGGGCAGGAAAGAGACAACTCTTGGCACTGCAGTTCTTTTCCATCCCTAGGGAAGGGCTCTGACAGAACATGACAGAACCCAGAGCAGCTCCGAGTCCTGCCTGGGTGGGTGGGAACAGGTTGGTTGCTCCAGCTCCACACCAGCAAACCAGGCAGAGGGGAGGATTTGGCTCTCCCATCCCATGGATTGTTAATATCCCATTGAGGAGGTGGCTCTGGCCCTGGGCTTGCACACCTTCCCCTCTGGCAGTGGCCAGCTCAGCCTGGGCAGTCTGACCCAGGCCAGCTGAGTGGATCTGGTACCCCCTGCCCTTCCCCTGGGTGCTCATCAGCATTTCTGAGGAACAAACACGGACTCCCCCTGCCCTGCCCAGGGCCTCTTCCTCACTGCAGCTCTGCCATTGGAATGAATCCCAGGTGGCAACAGCCCAAGAACTTCAGACACCTCGGGGGAGACACAACAGGAGGGGTGGTGGCCACGATGGTCCTACAGCAGAGGGGAAAATCCACCACAGGCTCCAAAGCAGCTTCAGAGTCTTGGAAAGCTGGCAAGATGGGAAAAGAGTAGGAGATGCAGATGAATAGGGTGTGCTGGATTTTTTGCTATTAAATGGCAAAGCAAAGCAAAGCAGTCAGTGTTTCCATCCCACTCGGTGTCCTGCTCATTAGGCTTGGCTTTTCATCACAAAATGGGATGAAAATAGGACTTACTGCTGCAAGGCTTCTCATGTTTTTCCAGTTAGAGAAAAGTGTTGAGACTCATTGATGCTGAACTGGTTAAAAGCAAACCATCCCTGGTGTCCTTTCCTCAAACAAGGGGCTTCTGAGTGGTGTGTGCCAAGGTCCCATCATGGTCCTTATGCAGCACTTGTGGCTCCCAAGAGACTCCACAGATGCAATTGAGGAAGACTGGAGAGCATCAGGAGAGAGAATTAATTGTACCCCTCTGTATGGCACTTGTTGGGACACTTCTGAATTAACTGTGTGCAATTTGGGGGGCTCCAAGAACAAGCACAACACAAAGTGGAGAGAGCTCAGTGCTGAGGTCCAAGAAGGTGTGGGACACATTACACAGGTTGGAAAGGTGGATTTCTTGAGCCTGGAGCAGGTGAAAGGAGGTCTGGTGGCCTTCTGTCTTCAAACCCCTCATGGAAGGGTGCAGGGACAGGAGCAATGATCTCTCTTGAGAGGTAAACAGTGAAAAAGGCACCAGACACGAGTCACAAACACGGACAATCTGATGAGATTTAGCAAAAAAATGCCTTTCAGCATGAGGGTGGCTGGACCCTGGACCAGGAACCAGTGAGGCTGAGGAACTTCCATCCTTGGAGGTACCCTGACCACAGTACTCAGCTACCTGATCTCTGGTGCCCCACTGGGAGCAGGGGTTGGGCCAGAGGTGCCTCTGAACCTCAGATCTTGTGTGGTGAGAGCACCAGGGGAGCTCTGAAAGGACTTGCCTCTCCTGCTGCCTTCTGTGGCCTGTGAACCTCCCAGAGGCCAGGACTCACAGGTGGAACAGCAGAATTCCTCTCTGGGAGCTTCCAACAGCCTTTGGGTGGAAAGGTCTAGGATGGTGCCACCTCGCCTGGAGATTTGGGCTGTGACTCCCTGGTTGGGTGTCTGGCTAGTGAGAGCCACAGCCCCAGACCAGCTGCTGGCCTTGAGACCAGAAAACCAGTTGTGTTTCACATGACTCATCCTGGAGAAAAGGCCCAGGGCCCAGAAGTCCCATTTAGCAAAGTGTCCTTCCCACTGGGCTGTGACTGCCCAGCTCAGCTTCCCAACAGCTTTGCCCTGTGTGTTCACAGCTGCTCTTTGGTGCCTTTGCTGCACAGCAGATTGTTCAGGCAAAGAAATGGAGCAGGTTTTCACCCAGCCTTGCCAGGAGGTTGTCCTCAGGACAGAAAAGGCTTTTATGTATTTCCTAAATGCAGACTTCAGCCAGAAGAGATGGCAACACTCAGATCCTAGGGTCCAGAGAAGGAAAAGACAGAGACTCAACAAGGGCCCACAGTAAATACAGTCACATCCTCCCGTCCTGCTCACGTGGGATCTTCCTGCCTACCTGCAGATCCCCACGTCCTGCACGGCTCTGTCCCTCCCTGGGGGAGCTGGACTCATTCCAGGGCACAGCTGAGCCTGCTCTGGCCCCAGAACTCACCTTTCCTCCTTGGAGCTGCCTCTCCAGCCTGGCCACAGACAGGCACTCACCTGGACAGGGTGAGGTGGTCACTGCCCGGGCACGTCCCGCTCGCTGGAGCTCAGGTGCTCTCTGGGAGCCCAAATCCACAGCTTCATTCCAGGAACCACTTCCAGCCACCAAATGGCTCTTTGCAGATCCAGGGAGACAGGAAACATCTGCACTGTCACAGCTGGTGGGTCCTGTGTAAACACAGGATAGACCCACTGAACAGCCTGTTTCCAGCAGCCTGACACCACAGTCGGTCTGTGCTCGGGTGGGACAAGTGGAGCTGCACCAGCTCCACTCCAGCATTTCCCCACACGTGCCTTGGCCAAGGGTGTCTGGCAGGGGGGCAGCCCCTTGGTGGGATGGGCACCTCAATGTGCCACCGCAGGGTGGGAGGGTGCTGGGGCTCAGGGCGCTCCCTGTGGCCTGGCACACTCAAAATTGGGCTCTGCAGCTGTTTCCTTCCAAGGGGGACATGGTTCCAAATGCACAGAGAGTGGACCAGGGACAGCAGCCAGGGAATGGCTGGAGCTGTGTCAGGGCAGGCTCAGGTTGGATCTCAGCCAAAGGTTCTTCCCCCAGAGGCTGGTTGGGCACTGCCCAGGCTCCCCAGGGCAGTGGGCACAGCCCCAAGGCTGCCAGAGCTCCAGGAGGGTTTGGCTGATCCTCTGGGGCACAGGGGGTGACTCTTGGGGATGGGCCTGTGCAGGGCTGAGGGTTGGACTCGATGATCCTTGTGGGTCCCTTCCAGCTCAGCACATTCTGTGATTCTGTGATTCTGTGATTCTATGACAGATGGACAGAGGTCCCCACTGCTCCTACGTGGCAGAGACCTCATCTTCAGTGTCCCACAGCACTGAAACCCCTGCCCAGGCTGTTTTGTATGGCCATTCACAAAGGAGACAGCAAAGGCTGGTAGAACCCCTACCCTGGTCCTGAAATGACAGGTCAGGAAAGGCTTTGCACTTGTTTTTTCCCTTGGACTTGCTTTTAGTCTGCAAGGAACAGAAAATGATTCTACCACCAAGCACCACTCCAGTTCCACCAAATGTCTCCTTTGCCCCCAGAGAGAGTTCCTGCTGTCTTTAATGTCACCTGGGAGTCCATCAGACAGGGAGATTTGCTTAAGGAAACATGGTAAAGGGGAAATGGGATAAGGGAGGTGAACAGCAAAGTTTTACTGAACACTTCATGTTTCAGGCTCCGCTTTTCCCAGTATTCCTGTACTCCTGCAGTGGTTAAAAGGACTTTTTGAAGAGATTGCTCATCTCAAGACAAAGCAAAGCTGGTGCCTGCATCAAGCACAGGCCAAGCTGGCCTGCTGGTCACCCTGCCATCGTGGGACCAGCACTTTGCATCCTCTGGGCTGGGTTTCCCTATTGGCAGTCCCAGAGGATGCTCCAGATTGGAGCTCCCCATCCAGGATGGTCTGTCCCCAGAGCAGGGGTGCAGCAGGGGTGGGGGCTGTGTGCCATGTGCTGCTCACCCTCTTCAGAGCTAAATGGAGGGCTCTCAGTGCTCAACTAAATTAACCTTGAAAAATTCATTTCACAAATGACTGCAGCAATTAGTTGCTTTTAATGAGCTGCTTCACCCAGGCTGATGTCTGAAGGTCCTGGAGGAAATCAGAATCTCCTGCTCATGCCCCTGACTGCTGATGGCTGATAGGAACTGGCAGCCCCTCCTCACCCTCTTCCCGGGGAGGAATTCCCACGTTTGTGGCTCCAGTTTTCTGCTCACAGGTTTATAAGCCCAAGTGCTCTGATGAAGGCTCCCAAGCCCAATGCTTTGCTGCTGTGCCACTGATTGCCAGGGGAAGAGCAAAGACACTCATTTTGTGTCAGATGTTGGGGAAGGACAAAGCACCGCAGAATTTTTGTGTCAAATCCAAAAGGAGAGAGCAAAGAAACAGTGTTGGAGCTGCAGCCCGATGCAGGGATGTGCCCTGCCCCAGCCCTGCAGGACCTGCTGCTGTGACCCCCCAAGGGATTTGCCCAGGGAGGGGGAGGGAAGCCTGGTGGGCTGCAGTGTGGGCTGGCTCAGAGCAGGCTCCCTGTCCTGCTGCTCATCCCAGCTGCTCTCAGCCCTTGGATCCTGCTGAGGTGGATCAGCTTCCCTGGCACATCCCACACCACACTGTCCCAGGGCTCTGCCCTGCTGGAAGATCCCTCTCCATACCCAGTGGGGCCTGTGTTGCTGAAGCAAAGCAGCAGCTTTGATCCTGGAGGTGTGGAGAGACACCAGGCCTTGCTGGCTGTCCATGAAGACATTCACCCACTCCCTGCCCTTGTTCCCACCCCTGTGCCTCCACTGTGCCCTCCAAGAGGGATGCAAAGCACCTGCACACAGGGAGCTGCAGTGGTTTGGGACTGCAGGGATTCCAGGCTGTCCTGCTGCCCTCCCGGGTGGGACATCGACTCAGGGATCCTTGTGGGTCCCTTCCAGCTCAGAAGACCCTGTGATTCTGTGACCCCATCAGTGGGGTACAAGCACCTGTGATGTTCCTCCCTCATGTGAGGAGCCGGAGCCACAACATCCCCTGGCTCCAGGGAATCCATGAGCCCACACAGCCCCCAGCACTGCTCTGTGGTTTGTCTGAATCCACTTGCAGGCTGCAGAGCAGCTGAATCGGATGCTGGCCCAGATGTTTGGCTCATCTTCCCCTGCTTGGGGCTGCAGCTCATTGCTCCCACCCTGCACTTCCCTTCCCACTCCATCAGGGCCCCATCCCACCCCCCTGAAGGGAGCTGGGTTTTCCCACTGTGTCCCTTGGAGGCAGAGCTGCCCTGAATCAAATCCCACACCCAGACATGCCTCAGCTCTGGAGGGCTCCTGTCCCTGCCCCTAGTCCTGTGTTTTGCTTTGGGCTCACAAACACAGCAGTGACACTGTTCAGGTCCCACTGTGGCTCCACCTGGGACTTGTGGCTGCAAGATTTGCTTTCACAAAATCCCTGCTTTATCCCAGACCTTGCATTTTGCTGTTTGCAGGCCCAGGTTAGACCTGATTCCTTCCCTGGGTCTCCCTTCTCGCTGTGGCTCAAATAAACACTAATAAATCTAATGTGGATTTTTTCAAGTGTAGCCTCCTCTTGTGCATGACCCCGACGTAGCACAAAGGTTCTCAATGTTCTGTTTTAAAAGCTATTACCCCACAAAACCTCAAAACAGATTAATATTTACCCATTAACCACTGGAAGAACACCAATGTTTTATTTTATTTCTTTTTCCCTAGTGCAGATTGCTCAGCTCTGAGAAGTCCCTGGAATGGAATACTGAACACCCAGCTATTCCTACCGGGCATTCCATGAGCAGTGGGTACTTCGTGTGGTTACACTATTTAGATAAATCTTTTCCCACTGAAAATGGTCTTATCCTGCAACTTCCCTGGCAGTGGGATGTGCAGGCATCAGGAGCTAAAGAGGACGTGGCTCCAGGGCAAAAATACCAAGTGTTGGGGGGAGCTTCTTTCTAAAATCCCCACGTAGCTGTCATCTGTAAACTTGAAAGTAGTGTCATCCAAACCAGATCCCTCCAGCACGGGGCAAACCTGGATGTAACTGAGCCTTGGAATCTGCTGCATTGTCCAATTCTCGTGCCAGAAGTGTCAGAGAAACAAGAAAAGCTGTGGCAGGATGTTGTAGGGGTTTGCTGTGATTCAGCCAGCTGCACGAAAAAAATGTGTGTGACAATTTGATATGAGCCCAGCCAGAATCCAGTCTGTTTGTTTTCCCAGAGCTTTGTCATTTCCTGGGCAGTATCATTAAAGAGGGATTAAAGTATTCCAAACCCACTCCAAATGGGGCAGATTTTGCAATCCACCCCAGAGCTCTTTCTAAGTATGCACTTGGCAAGCAGAGTGCTCTGAAAAAGCACAAATCCTTCTAGGTTTGGCATTTTTTTTGCTCAGATCTACTTTTCAGGAGTTCCTTGCCCACGGCACCACTTCCCAGCACATTCCTCTTTGGGCAGTGTGGCCTCAGGAGCTCACAATGGCTGAGCCCCAGAGGGATGTGCCTGTGCAGTGGGAAAGGCTGGAGCAGCACATCTGGAACCAGCTCCTATCCCTCACCCAGCCCTGGGAACATCTCAGCTCCTGTGCTTGGATAGACCTACAAGTCTCCTGCTTGAGCCCTGAAGTCCTCCTGGACTGGAAATGAGCAAGTCAAGCCTTGATCCAGACTTGGCCCAGCACCTCTTCCCTGCAGTTGGACTTGCCTTGAGTCCAGGTTGGTCCCAGACTGGTGAAGAGCCACTGGTGACTCACTGAGTGGGCTCTGCACGAGGAGTGGCTCCTCAAAACCAACCCCTTCCCAATGTCCCAGGGCTCAGGGCTCTCCTCCAGGCTGCTCCCAGCTGCAAAGCCCCTCCTGGAGGGGGCTTCTCCCCTCTCCTGGGGTGCAGCATGACCTGGGGACCCACATGTCCCACTTCACATGTCCCACCTTGACCCCTGCAGTCCCACCAGCTGCACCACTCCCAGCCCTCCTGGTCCCAAGGAATCCATGCCTGCCAAGAGCCCTCTTCTGCTGCATTTTGTACCTCAAATAACCTCTGATACATGACTTACTCTTCCTTTTTTTGTGCATTTTTTCGATGTCTGGCAGTGGAGCTGAGCTCACTCGACTCTCTCTTGATGGCAGTCTGAGTGTGGGTCTGGTCTCTCCTTTCCCACATTTTCTTGCAAGAATAAACCATTTTTGACATTTTAATGTCTCTGCTGAGGTTGGTAGGAAGTGGTCAGCATATTCTAGCTGACTAGGGGCAGCAGACAGGCAGGGAGGGAAACAGCAGAACAGTTTAAGCCTCTGCAATAAAAGCGTCTTTGCAAACATTTACAAAGAAATTCTCCCTTACTCAAGTTTTTCTGGATTTTGCATTTTTTTCTGTCATAAAAAAAATAAAATTGTGCCCTTTATGACAATAAATATAGATTTACTAATCATTTAGGCTCTGAACTGCTTGAGGCAGAGTGTGCTTCCTAGTTAGGGAGTTTAGGACCAGGAATAATCAATAAATCCCTTTGTTTGACCTCCCATGTATAACCATGTTGCTCCTGTGTTGAGCTTGCAGCTTCTCCAAGGGTTAAATCACACCCTCAGGGAGGTCCCCAGGAGCTGGTGCCACCTCCACAGGCACAACAGAGGGACCCAGAGGTGAACCTGGGGTGAGTTTCCCTGGCAGAGGATTTGTGCTGTGCCAGAGACCCTCTGGCTCTGTCCCTCTGGTGTGAACTGCTCCTGAAGGGACTCCTCCTCTTTTGTCCCAGGCTGTCCCACCTCCTTTTCTGGTCGTGGTGGTCCCTCACTCGGGCTCCAGAGACACCCTGCTCCAGTCTGGAGGCTCCAGATATAAATACAACTGAATTTTCTCTGAGATTATCCCAATAAATTGACCCCAAGCCTCCTGGCACCCCAGATGTCTATGAGACCCCTTGTTCCCCCAGTGCTCCCAGAGGCAGGCAGCTCCAGGATGTGCCTCTCCCTCTTCCCTGCAGGTCCCAGTCTGCCTTTCCGAAGGCCTCCCATGGCTGGAGGGTCACCCCCGGCAGTGTGATGGTTCCAACAGGCACCTCTGGCAATGGGAAAGTCATTCCAGGCCAACAGAGCCAGGCTGCAGGTCTGCAGTGACCCACTGACCCATCCCTGGGGAGCTCCTGGTGGTGTGTCTGCAGGAGGGGAAAGCTCATAAATGAGCTGCTGTGACATCTGACACCACAGAGGGCCCGAGCAAAGAGGATGGGATGGGATGGGATGGGATGGGAATGGCTCTGCCTGGACACAGGAACTATCCAAAGGCTGGGCTGCACAGCCTGGAGATAACTCTGGTATCCCAACCCCTCACACCATGTGTGGGGCCCATCAGCACCTCCTGCAGAGCTCCAAGAACATTCTTCAGGAATTAATCATCCTGAGGTTCCCAAGGGAGGGGAGGGGAGGGAGAGGGAGAGGGAGAAGGAGAAGTTATTTATAAGGGCTGAGCTCAGGATTGCTGGATGGAACACACTCATTTCTGCCACATGTTCTAAAGGATCCAGGGCTCCAGGGCCTGAGATCAACCTCCAAACACAGCCTGGGCCCTGGGGGCACTGGGCCACCACTCCAGCCTGGAATCACAACCTCCTCTCACCAGGGCTTGTACACAAAGGGGCCTTAGAGACAGCTCTGGATCAGAGCAGCTCCCAGGGCGGTGGGACAGGAGCCAGGCCCTCAGCTCCAGCCGCTGGGTTCCCAGCACAGTCCTGCCCAAAGCCATGGAAATTCCATTCCCCAAGTGATTTTCTCGAGGGTTCCCTCACTGGAGGAGGAGACAGGAGCTCCACGTTCCCTGACCCAGCTGGGACTTGGCCATCCCACGAGGAGCAGCCATCCATCTCCTCCCCTGGGTGAAGGGGGCTCAGTCCCAGCTCGGGGGCTTCAGGGCTGGACCCTCCCAGCACCAACACAGCTCCAGGCAGATCCCGTGGTGAATTCCAAACGTGCCAGGCACTGAGATTCCCTGCTCCCACCCACCCACCCATTTCCTCTGCCCAGCCAAAGGCAGGTGTGGGGTGAGATGAAGCAGAACTGAAACGTTGCATTAACACAGGCTGGCGCTTATCAAGAGCTGATGTTGCACAGCCCGGCCAACAAACCTCACCAGGGATCTGTGGGAAAAATGGGATCCACATGGCAATTCACACTCCAACTGCTGCCTTATCTCCTGGAAACGTTATCTCATGCAAGCTGGAGCTATTTTCTTTTCAGCTCAGTAAAAACGTGTCAGTTTTATATTTATGTATCAGGCCACGATCCCATGGGAAATTAATTTGCCCAACAGCAGAAATTCTGTCATCGCACGCATCAGTCAGTCTGGGAATGGGGATCTCCAGACCAGGGCCCTGGAATCAGGGGAAGGGCTTAAAATAACAACCTCAGGAGGATGTGGGAGCCTGAGCAAATTACAAGAGCTCCTTCCTGACTGCAAATGTATTTTGGGGTGTTTCAGGCTCGATACCTAAATGCAGAGCCAGGGGGTTGGTGTGACCCCCGCCTCAGGGGGTTCCCCATAGGGAGGAAGGGTCTCAGCCCACACACCCCAGGGGGTGTGGAGGGATGGTCCCCATGCCCCTGGCACTGGCCCAGCTGGGTGCTGGGTGTCCTGGATCTCCCTGCAGACTCTGGGCGGGGCCCTGTGGATCCTGGGCATCACTGCATCACTTGTGGCACAGCAGCCTTTAGTGCCCCAGAGAGACTCATCCCACCCTTCCCCAGGGCTCCCACCCCCAGTCCAGCTGGGTCTGGGAGCCAGAGAGATCATCCAGCCCCACTGGGACCAGTTGGTGGAGAGGGCCAGGGACCCCCTTCCCTTTGGAGGTGGCTCTCCCGTGGCACCATCACTGCCTTTCTCTGCTTCCCAGCTTTGCAATTGAACTGCTCTTTGTTCAAATCCACAGGCTTCCCTTAAGCCTTAAA